TATGGTATTCTTTTTTCCGTTTACTGTCATGTTCTACTATTTATTTGATTATATTTCGTAACAATAAATAAATAACTCTCTAGTGATGACGAAATACATCAATAAAACAATCATATACAGATTGATTATCGTACAGCAGGGATGTTGATGTGGACGTGAGTGTGTGAGTGTGACTGTAGGATTGCGAGCGTCAATATTCTCCTCAATGCCACTCATATTGCGCATCCACACCCACACTCAAATCCTTTTTGAGTAGTCTTGTTCGTAGTCAGGGTTAATCAAGTATCCCATGTAAAAATAAAGGTTAAAAATTTGATTAAAATCGATTTTCAAAAAAAAAAATAATCACTAAAAATTGATTAAAAGTATCAAATTTCCATTAAATTCGATGTAACATTTGATTATAATGGATTGTGCTCAATAAAAATCGATTACCCAAGCAGTCAAAAATGACAAATTAACACGTAAAAACAGCCACTTTTAGTTTTTCTCTCAACGCCGTGTACACTTCGACAAATGTCCGAATTTTTGCGTTTTAACAGTTGATATAATTTTCACTTTAACATCGTCAAACCCAGTGGAAAGAGAAACATTAAAATACGTTAATAAAATAACTGCATCAAAACGCAAAAATTCGGACATTTGTTGAAATGTACAACGCATTCGAAGGAAATGTTTTAACCAGTACGCCACCACGAAATAAACTAATATACTATATGGGCTACCCTGTATGTGCAGTAACAGAGACCAAGATATTCGAATTTTAAGATATGTTTAGTGTATGTACAGTGTTCACAATTCAAAATTTCAATAGTTTTTTTTTGTGTTTCTTAGATACAGTTTGTCGAATTACATAAGAAAAAATGCTTCAAGTTTTAGAAAAGCTTTACGAAAGTTAGAATTTTCGGTCTATTTTCCCTGATATTTGAAAATAATAACATGTTTGACTTTTTCCTAAAATTATTTTTTAAAACATGACACATTTTTTCCTTATGCAATTCGACAAGCTATATCTAGGAAATACGACAAAAAAAAACTATTGAAATTTTGAATTGTGAACACTGTACATTCACTAGACATATCTTAAAATTCGAATGTCTCGACCTCCGTCGCTACACATACAGGGCAGCCCATATATTATATTAGTTAGTTCAGCGGTGAGAGCTTCGATTTAATCCGAATATGTCAAATTTTTCTATTTACATTACAAAACCTTCGATCATTAGATAGAAATATTCAAACAAACTATATAAACATCAGACTTGACAGTAATAAGACATTGTTAAGAACATATGAAAGTATTTTATGTATTTTTGTAGTAGAGAAACAAAAATTTGTTTTTTTTTCCTAAAGCATTTAATTTTAACTTCTGTAATTCTGTTGACAATTTCTTAGTTGAGCCATATTTATTACTAGATTTACTGATTTCTCATTTTACATTCAAGTAGCTATTCAGAAAATAGAAGGAACTAAAATCGATATGGTTTATTTTAAATTTTGTAGTAAATGGTCAAAGAAATTAAAACTCAATAGAAATTTTCTTTTCGCTGACTAAAGATATATTCGTATGTTTTTGTCTGACAAGTTTTTGTAATCAAAAGTGCATGATATATACGAGCTATCTGAATATTATAGGAAGATGGAATTCACAAATATTGACTAAGACTATCGCTTCTCACTTCGGTATCAAAATTCTTTTTCAACTTCTTAAGAAAAGCAGTTTTTCTTTAACTAGCGCAGTTGTTCTGATTATTGTGGACTAAAATCATTATTATTTTTCACTATTGTTTTGTGAAAACTAGATTTTACATCCTCACCGGAAAATGAAACTAAGTCAAGTACAATGACTGCGATGGCTAAGTAATCGATTACTACCTTCATTTTATTACTCATCGATGCTTTATAGTACAGACAAAATACTGGAGAAATATACGAGTAACTCTATCTATTTAAGAATCTATTATTGAAGAGTGAAATATGTCGATGGATTTAACTGTTTACTAAGGAGAGAAATTAAAACAATTAGGTTTTTTTTTATTTCGAAGTCGACAATAGGTTATTTTTTGTGTGGAAGTCAAAAGTGTATCTATTGCAATATTTGTGAATTTTTTCTTCATATATAAGCAACTCGAAGTTCATATCTTGTCACAAAAAAACTAACTTATTTGGATAAGGATCATCGACAGAATTTTATTTATTCTACATTAGTACTTCTGAAGATAATCTATCTATATAATACATAAATGAATGAATGATTGTCGCTTATCAATCGCAATATCTATGAGACAAAGAAACAAAGAAAGAGAGGAACAAAGAGCAGTCCATATAATAGTCGATGGTGACCAATAAGAACACATGTATGATTAAATGGGGTGAATTAGCGCATTAAGTGAAGATATATTTTGTTAAATATCTTGAAATAGAAGATTAAAATATCTCGAATTTCTATAATTATTTCCATCAAAACATTTTTTTTTCTTAGTACTGGAATATTTCTACGAATTTGTTCCAAAAAAAAATCTGAATTTGTTTAGATTTTACTCATTAGTGATAAATAATTTATATATTATAAAATAAAGAAAGAACAGCTCTGCATCATATTGTCGATTTAATTTGTTTTCGACTATATCCACTACACTGCTACTGTTTTTTAATTTTTTTAAAAATAAACTACAATAAAGGGTGTGTCCTAAGTTTTGATCTCTTCAAGTAATACTCGTTTGTTATATGTTTTTTCGGTAGAATAGGCTAATATTCACAGCATATATACTAGACATCTAAATCTACTCTACGCTAGAGTTTCAGCCTTCTACCTCTTATAGTCACAGAGATATAAGTAACTTAAAACTCCTATGAATTTCTTGAAATAACGGGTGAGTCAGAAGGAATGGCCACATTTTGCATTTTGTTTTCTCATCATCTAATATGTTATATTAAAGAAAAAAATATACCACAGGATGCAGCCTGAAAAACTCTATAATATACATAGTAAAGTTTATTTTAATTGTGTACATTTTGTTTTGAAAAAAGGAAAATCACAAAAAGATCACTTTTTTCTATATGAATGAAAAATTCATTTTTGCTTATTTCAACCTTTTATCACCTAATACGCCATCTTGAAAAAACCAGAATATACTACAAGATGCAACGTGAAAAGCTCTACGACCTACATGATGACTCTTATTTTAATTATGTACTTTTTGTTCTAAAAAAAATGCGCGATCACTTTTCACAGCGTCGAAAATTGGTCTCACCAAATTTTGCCCGCTTTGAAAACAAAATGTACACAATTAAAATAAGCTTTACTATGTATATTATAGAGTTTTTCAGGCTGCATCCTGTGGTATATTTTCTTCTTTAATATGACATATTAGATGATGGGAAAATAGAATGCAAAATGTGGACATTTATTCTGACTCACCCGTTATTTCAAGAAATTCATAGGAGTTTTAAGTTACTTATATCTCTGTGACTATAAGAAGCCGAAAGCTGAAATTCTAGTTCTGGTTATCTTACTCTATATTTCTGTTTCTTAATTTTTTTCTACCTTGAAATAATGCAATAAAAAGTCTGTTCTATTTACAATGATTAGTTGTATGTATCGGTATCCATAAGATTTCCACCTTCTATGTGTCAAAACAGTGTGCTGTCGTTTATCTGTCCACATAGGTATGACTTATAACCAGCGACTGTTTTATTTTCATTTCATATACTTTAATTCATTAAAACGAATGAATATCCATGTTAAAACGCATTCATTCGACTAATTTGCCTATTGCGTAAGTTAAAACATGTTCATTCATCTAATATCTTCATTTAATTCGTGAAAATGCGTTATCTGCAAAAAAAAACCGTTTACACTCATTGATTTCTCTTATTTGTCGAGTGAACGTGCTTTAAAGCGGTTTTTTCGTCGGTTTTCAACATCAATGCATCAAAACAACGTTTTTGCCATTTATCTGTCTGCGTGGGTAATGAAGTAACTGTACCATTTCAATTGAAACAATTTATATATCAATTGCAATTATATTTTAGTTATCGGGCTTAGTTTAGTGGCAACTTTACGTTTAATAAACCCGAGCAATCAAGAAAATCATGAAAAATTAGAGTTTCATTTTCGAATTCCGAGAAAAGTAGTTATCTTCTATGTCTATGGTTAAAATCGTTTAACAATTAAAAAATAGATTAGAATTGATTGTCAAGTAATAACAGAGTGAAAAGGTGACAAAAATCGGATTTCAATCGATTTTCTCCCCATCCTTTTTACATGGAATGTTCTAATACAGATGATCGGGACGAAATTTTTTTATGATCCCGCACATCTTTATTCTCGAGGCAGCAAAGATTTACGAGTGCAAAATTTTTTTTGCATCAGATCTGATATTAATCTTTCTCTTGCAACCTGAAATGTAACAATTTTTCAAGAAGCAAAAAATTTTTTCAGACTCATGAAAAACTGTCCTTTTCCTTGTATTTTTTTGAAAGAAAAAAGTGTTGTGGTAACTCTTAGAAATTTCGGCACCGAAGATGGCCACGCTAGTGACGATTATTCAAAAAATGAAACTCTTCAGAAGAAAGACAGTAGTAAAATTGCCATAAAAATAGAAAAATCACAGATATTTTTTAGCCTGACTACGCTCATGTGATACTTTTTCGTGAAGCCAAGTACTTTAGCATCTCTTCAGAATTTTCTAGTAAATACCATTGTTTGAGCCTGAATGTGAAATGAAAAACCAGTTGATTTCTTAAACTTGCCACATAACTTCATGTTTTCCATCGACGTCCCAATGAAGACTTTCGATTGCTCTCCCTGTCTGAGATATTCCTGAGAAATATTAGCAAAAATATTCCAAAGAAATACTTTAAAAATCATTAAAAAAACTTTAATTGAAATCGATGGAATAAAAATAGATTTTATTGAGAAGTCAAGAAAAAAAAACTAACTAATTTGATAAATTGAAAAAGTTTTATGGAAATGTAAATACGTTTTATGCTTTATTTCAATCATCGTCGTCGTCATTTGGTTGTGGTACACGTTCAAGTGGATGTTCATGTCCTTTCTTTTCGCATGCCGAACATAGATCATAATTACCACATGTTAAACAACAATATCTTTGACCAATAAGAGGATTCATGTTGCATCCATCACATCGGACATATGACCATTGATATTCATCGGGCGAAGAAGATGGTAATTTTTCTCCTCGTGCCCATGACTGAAGTGCTTCAATTCCTTTAGATGAAACATCATTACGACCACGACTTGATAAAACTGTTCCATCTGATGAAAGAATAAATAACGATGGAATACCTTTACACAAAAAAAATTATAATTATTATCTAAAATCAATAAATTAAAGATATATTCACCAGAAAATTGGAAATATAACTTGAGAAGAGCACCTGCATCCAATGGAACAGCAGGCCAAGGCATTTCTGAATGATAATTTTTGAATGATTCTTCATCTCGATCACACGATATAAAGACTATACGAAAACCATGAGATGTTGCTTGTATTTCTTTATAAAGTTCTGCCAATATCGGTGTAAAACCACGACAAGGTGGACACCAATGAGCAGAAAAGTAAAATCCAACACTTTTAACATCATTTTGCCATAATGTTTTTGTTTCAACTTTTTCATCACTATTTGGATTGAGTAAATAAGGAACTGATTTAAACAGTGTTTCTAATGGATAAATTTTCTTAGGTATAAGATATTCAACAAGAGGATGTTCATGTTTATTATTTGGTACACATGTTTCACATAAATCAAAACTACATTCTTTATTTGTGCAACCATGATGTGGACCAACCAAAGGATTCATATAACAAAGATTACAAGTAGCATTTTTCCAAACAAATTCACCTTCACGAGCTTCACGTGACCAAAATAAACATTTTCCTTGTGACCATTCTTCCAAAGCTTTATTGGATGCAGCACGTACTTCTTCAACACCATCCGAAGTTATTTTCTCACATGTAGGAGAAAGAATAACTAAAGTTGGAATACCTTCGATATTAAATTTTTCACCCAATTCTATTGAACGATCTCGATCTAAATGTATTTTTGTGAAACGTAAAACAAAGTTTTTGAAATCGATGAAAATTTCACATTAGACATAACTTAAGAATACCTTCGAAAAACAAAAACTAACAGACGCGAATTTTTAACCTATTCTAAAGTTTTTTTTGTTGCGTTATGAGCTTTGACTATAGCTTCTAATCGAGTAAAAGCGTTGATCATCGTTGATATAAATAATCTACAAGAAGTGCATTCTTAATAAGGAAAAAATATCGTCTTTGACATCGAGCAAATGTTTCTCAATACAAATAGATTGCAATAAAAGACATGAAAGTTCAGAATTCATTGTGTGTATATGTGATATTACTTGATAGAAAGGATCTAGAAAGGTTTATGTTGTTCACTGAGACTTTCTCGTATAGCTTCAATGAAAGACATTCATCTAGTTCTTTTTGTTTTCTATTTTTTCTTTTTCTCATTCGGTTTACATTTAGAATGCTGTTTCTTTCACACTTGTAGAGAACCAAGACGGTCGGAAGACTTTCACAGTGATATATAACGAATTCTCTTCAAACTCTTAGTATTTCTTCTCATTATTTAAATTTGAGAGACATATCCAACATACCAGAGTAAGGTAAAGCTTTCCATGGCATCTCTTTGAAATATTCATCAAATGTAGCTTGATCTTCGTCACTTGAAACAAAAACAATCTCTAGTTTGTTTTTGAATTCATTATCAAGTTGTTTGAAAATTTCAGCTAATTGTGGTGTAAATCTTCGACATGGTGGACACCAATGAGCTCTAGAATAAAATGATCAAGATAGATTTCTTTCAATTGATAAAATAATATACGAACGAGAAATAAAGTGCAACAGTTTTGTCATGAAGTTGATTTGTTGATATTTCAGCGTATTCATCGCCAGATTCATTATGTTGAAGAAGTTTTTCACCTAATAATTCGCTAAAAGTCATTACTACGTAATCAAAAAAATATATATGAAGCGAAAAAAACAAAATATTGCTTCGATTTATATAGTAGTAATTAAAGAAGGTTTGTTGTCGTCAATTACCATTTAGTTGTGCAATACCACATACGACATACTTCGGTTGATTGGCTTTTTTTTTGTATACTTTCTATCGAGTTATTCATGCATATTTCTTTTTTTTCTTTGCGTTCTAATATGATATGCAGTGTTTTTCAACGTAAACGTTCCTTAAAAAGAAAAAGAATTTTACCATATAAGGAAAATGTAATACTTCGAGGCTCTCATGCCCTTATTTTAATTTACACAACATGAAGCTATGATTATTCATCAATGAATGCTATTTTTGGGATCAACAAACAGCTAATTTTTAATAATAATAAATATGTCTCAAAGTATTCATTCTAGAAATAAAAAAACACCATAGGACGAAATTCAACGTAGCAACAAGAAGTAATTAGATTGTCAATATTTTGATAAGTATGAAACAAAATTGCAAATAGTAGCATGTATATGAAATTGTAAATTTTAATAAATGATAGAATTTAGAGTCAAAAAACTTCGTTGAAAGCTTATGTGACATAGTATTAATTCGTTTTTTGGTTTATATAAGCTGAAAAGCCTAGAAAAATTTTTAAAAAAAGTACGATCATCTTTTATATTTACTGATAATTACAACACCATGGATCTTTTATTTTTCATTTTTAAATGAATCCTATTTCTTCCGAGGTTCAACGAAAGCATTTGTATCAATTTCATGGGTGTGAATTAAGATGCGATGAACAAACATCTACACCCTAATGCCGATATAAATACCTAGAAGTCTTTTTTTACTTTATTGAAAAATAAGGCAAGAAACGTGGGTGTGACTGTAAGTTTTCTTTCCAACCACAGTCACAATCATAATCACATAGACATACATTCTCTAAACTCAATTTAACTATTAATTAGATTTATTGTAGTTTGTGAGTATTTGAGCAAACTGCATCAAATCAGATACAGTGCCGTGAAACTAGAAGAAATCTTGGTTAACTGTGACTTTTCTTCTAAAATTTTTTCCATGAGTATATATACTCAATAGAAATTAAATTTTCTTTTTGTTTATTATTTATGCTTCTTTTATTTTAGAAACAAATTTATAATTTCTTCATTTTCATGAAGTTGGTCCAAATTTCTATCAACATTTCAATGTAAAAAAAAAAAAGAAGAAGACAATTTTTTAAATGTCTTTTCTGAGGTTTTTTGGAAACTCTCTCGAATATTTGTATTGAAATTTTCGTTGAAGAGAAGAACTATAATTTCATTTAAGAAAATAAATTTTCATAAGTTATCTTTCTGTTAATTAATTCATTTTTTTTTTCATGAAAATCGTTGTAGATATCGAAATACTTCGCGAAATATTCACAACAAACTATGAAATATATCACTCAAATGTTTTATGAACGATTTTTTTTTGTAAGAAAATCGAATACACTTAGTGATTTCAAATATAAATATAAGTTAGAATGACATAATAATATTGAATGTCTCATGAATTTTGCAAAAACAAACAACAACCATAACATATTCAGTTGGATTGACATATTATAATAATACTGATGAATATAAAGTTCTCAATATTATTTTGAATGATACTTTCATTCCAATCATGCAGATAAATTAATGCTTTGATAATGAATATTAATGATGCAAGCCATCATTTATCGGTGTTTTCTTTCTAAATCTATCAAATTTTTTTGTGCCTATGACAACGATGCGAAAAATTCTCAAGAAACGCAATATAATTCTTTTCAATGAACAACAGAATCTTATGTAATCATCAATTATGGTTTTTTCGAATCTACTAATCGTTTAAGTGTTTTAGGCTTATTTAGATCTATATTATCGATTGTACCTTATCTATTGGTCGGTAAGTTGGTAGTGAAGAGGATTTAGTAGGTGAAAAACAGTAAATCAATTAGCAGATCCTAAGAGAAATAATAAAGTGAAGGAGCAATTTTCCAAGTTATTTATCTAAGGAAATGATCAATGACATTGAAAGACTATGTTCTTCATCGAAACAAATTATGATGAGTCATAAGCTACACTATAATAACGTGTTTAAATCATTATTGTAATGCATATTCATTTAATACTCAAGGGATGCAATAGAGAAAAAATGTTGTTATCGTAATCCACTGTGGGAGTAAATTGTAAAATGTGGTATAAATACTCATGTTTTTAGATAGAACAATGATTTCAACAGATAACTTCTATTGGTGATATGTATTTATGATGTGGATTATGTTGTTTAAGCATTATATACTTGGTCTATGATCAAAGCAGATCCATGTAATGAACTTAATCGAGTTCAATATATAGTTTAGAGTTGATTTTAATTTGTTGGTTATATCATTAACGATAGGTTAGGAGTTTGAATTTTTGCCCATGTACTTCAACACTAGTTTTAGATCATGTTTTACAAAAGAGAGTTCATATTATTTCTATTTAGAAGAATAGGTAAACAAATAACTGACATAGTAAAGAACATTTATGCAGAGAATAGGGAATTGCTTATTTTTCTTTGTTATTTTCACTCAGATGTTTTTTAAAGAAAATAAGCTATTCAAGACAAAGCAATCGATTTATATAGTTCGGTTGAACTAAAAATATCTTACTGTGTCGATATATGGGTAAATACTTTTGTTATTATTTTCCAATAGAAAATTGTAGTTAGAAACTCTGAGATATTTAGTTCAAATGAATAACTAACTCATGCATTCAATAAACTTTCGTGTGTGTGACATGCATGTGAGAGAAAATAAACATAAACACACTCAGAAAACTATTTTTGGAATATTTACATACTCAAATGCGTTCGATAAAAATACTTTGTATGAGTTCACGTTCCAAACTTAGATTGCCTGATGTCTACGGGACTAGTCTTTTTTCAAATATACTTAAACGCTTGAAAACTAACGATTTCAAGTGTTTAAACGTGTTTTTGGAAAATCTTGTCTGCTTGCGTCAGATAATGAAGCATCGAATCTCACTCAGAGGCAAAACTAACACAGACAAGATACTTGTCTTGTAATCGATGAACGGTTGAGAAGGGCTGTTGTGATATAAGTTTACTGTCTCAGGTGAACCACACGAATACGAACAACAGGAGCATACTGTAACTAGAAAGAGATCACAAGCTATTACTCTTCACATTGATCCATTCAAGAGATTATGGTATGGGTAATTCATTTTTGTCTAAATAGATTTTGCGAATGTACTCTAGTCAAATAGAAAATATTTTATGTCTATTTATCATGAAACTGAGCGTTCAAATCATGTATTCGGTTAGATATTCATAATGTAGTTAATCTCTGGCGATATTCTAATCGATTTGGTCCTTGCTTTCTTATTCTGGGAGCGTCATCAATTTTTAGTATGAAAATTCATCCAATATCAATTGAAAAGTAGTACTCTGATAATCGTTTTGTAACAAGTTTGTCTCATCCTACTCAGTTTATTGCATACCTCAGTTTACTTTTGATAGATTCTACAGAAAGGCTTTGTAATAGAAACAAATTTTATACAGATTACATGTTGCATTTCAGTCCGACAACTAACCTCTCGAAACTGAATGGAACCGACTAGATTCCGAGAAGTGATTTGTATCAGGTGTAGATGTGGGAGTGAAACTTCTATGCAGCCGTATCCATCCACACCCACACCCTTACTTACTCATTTGCAGTATTCACAACTTGTAAATTAGGGCGGCGTGTGGATGTCAGGTGTGAGTGTAAAGTGTAGATGTGTGTATTCAATTGTCCATCAACACCCACCACACCTTGAATCATCCAAAAATCATCCCCGAGAAATTTTTGTCTGTGCTGTCTCTGGGAGTTGTATGTATAAATTTTCCTCTTTAGCCGCACTATGAGCAAACCTTCGTAGCGAATGATTTTATGATGAAACATAAGGTTTCCGACGTATTTTTGCCTTCTGCTTTCGGATATGATGGTCATCTTTCACGAAAGTCAATTTTTTATCATCAAAATCGCGACATACGATTTCATTTTTTTTCTGATATTTAAGAACTAATATAGAGAAAATGAATTGTTTCAAACACATAACTTTTTTCCAGCCCAATAACGAATAAAAGTCAGTCTGCGTAAGACACGACCGATTTTGCTCAATTATACGTTCCAAACTTTTAATCGCACCTCGAACTAGTCTTTGGTTCCGTGGTGTTTGAAAAGAAACTTTCAACGTCATCTCGCCTATATCTTGTGGGAAAATCTATTAGGAAGGTTATTTTTCTCCTTTTTTCTCATCAAAACTCTGAAAAATAGTTCAAAATGTCTATAGAACTCGGCAGCAAGATCTTCAATAGCTATAAAAACTTTCGCTCTCTATCTGAAAAATATGCTCTATAAGATGGAATAGATATAATGCATATCTAAGACTATGATAGAGCAAAATCCTACAGCACTAGGTCACAGTTTACGCACACTGGCTCATAAAATAAAACAAGAATATTGAATTTATAATAAATTCAGAAATACTCGATTTATTTTTCACATCCATCCATTGGTTTCGTAGGAGAATGGTCTCCTTAGAATATACTTATTAAAACAAGTAAAATAGTTTAACAAGCTAATTTTCAATGTACATGTTTTGTTCACAGGAAAAGTGTTCACAAATCATACAAAAATATGAAAGAAGAAAAAACTTGACTTTTGAATTACTTGCACCTTACACACCTGTATTATTGAAATAGTATATTTTCATATAGAAGGAATAAAAAATTTTAAAGGTTGTTCTTTCAACACAAATGAAAAAAAAATGTGTAAAGAACACATTATCGAGCAATATAAACGCAGAGTTGACAATCGTTCTAGTTACCAGAACATCGTGATTATATTGGCGTTTCTTCATACAAAGGAGAATAATGTAGCGCATAACATAGCTAACACTTTCTGTTCTTTTCTTTCATATACTTTTTCAAGAGAAAAAAAAAAGAATTTCTTCTTATAGAATTCACAATGACGACAGCACAATTTCTTTATGTCTATTCACTTTACTAATGTGTTTTTCTTCTTTTGCTTTTAGTTCATTTTGAATTTTCTTTTTGTACTTAAATAATTTAAACGTAAATCATTAAGAATAATTCAACAATGGACGAGAAAATCGCTCGAAAACTACAAAATGTCCAAATGGTAATTGACAGACAGGACTATGAAAACATTATATGATATTTTTTTCTTTAAATATTTTTTTAGGCAGTTGAAACTTTAAAAATTTATCAAAATGATCCGTAAGTTCAGAAATATTTTCATTAATAAAAAGAAATATCTATTTCTTTTGTTTTCTTTTCTAGACCGAATGAATTAACTAAACAATATGGTTTTATGAAATTTGATGAAAATAAACTTGATGCTACTACACGTCTTTCACAATATATACGATTAAGTCTTAATACAAATGCTGAAACAGTTGTTAAATTTATGCAACAAGGTTGGCATTTATCAAAACCTGATTTAATTATATCTGTAACTGGTGGAGCAAAAAGTTTTGATATGTCAACACGTCTTAGAAAAATTTTTCAAAGTGGTTTAGTTGCTGCTGCTATTACAACAAGTAATAGAATTTTATTTCAATATAGATAATTAATAACGAATTTTGATTGAATAGATGCATGGTTGATTACAGCTGGAACAAATGCTGGTGTTGTTAAAGAAGTTGGTGAAGCTCTTAATAAATATCGTTATAAAAACCGAAAAAATGGTCTTAATGTACCATGTATTGGTATTGCTAGTTGGGGTTATACTGCAGGAAATGAACAACTTGATTGTCAATCTACGGATTTTTCTATAGATACGAGTACTACAAGTGGAATATATCCATTTATAAGACATCATCATAATCAAATAATACAGTCTGTTCGTATGATTACTAGAACAATTTGTTTGAAGTGAAAGAGAGAGAGGGAAATGATTTTCTTTTAAACTAAAATTTAGGAGAAAAATGATCAATATTTGGTTCGAAATTATATTGTTAAAGATAAGCAAAAGAAACGATGTGATTTAGAATCAAATCATACTCATTTTTTATTATTTGATGATGGACAACCAAAGGCTGATACTGTTCTACCATTACGAGCAGAAATTGAAAAATATTCTCGAAATACGAGCATAGAAACTACAACTACAGAAGAGACAATTGAATCACTTATACCTATTGTTATGGTTTTGGTTGAAGGTGGTCCATCATCGATTCGAACAATTTGTGAAGCACTTGATTCGAATACGCCAGTTGTTGTTATCAAAGTATAGAAAAATTTCAATAATATAAATAAACTCTGATTGATTTTTTTAAAGGAATCAGGTCGTGCTGCTGATCTTGTTGCTGAATTACATGCTTGTTATACTGAAAATGAAAATGGTAATGGTTATCCTACACGACCACAAACCGGTTTAGTTAGAGGTAGTTCAAAAGAAACAGAGATCAATGCGATGTAAGTTTTATTCTCAAAAGAAATTATGAATAATAATTATCTCTATTGTTTTATAAAGTTTAACTAAAGCACAAGCTGATATAACAGGACTTGATGAAGTTAAAAATAATCTATGTCGAGTATTAAATGAACGTAAACAATTAGTAACAATTTTTAAGTTTGATAGTAAACGACATCATGGAAATCTTGAAGATGCTATTCTAGAATCTTTATTTAATGGTAAATATTCTTCATTGATAGAATCTTTTATAATAATAAAAAACAAAAAAATTGTTCGTTTTTCTATAGCTGCAAAATTTTCCGATGATCATAATGAACAAAATCGTCGAACAGCAGAACTTAAATTAGCTATAGTAATTTAAAAAGATAAACAACAAAAACAAAAGATCTTTTATTTAGGCTTGGCATAAATTTAATTATGCTCAAAAATATCTTCTTACTGATACGACGATATCTAAATGGAAAGTATGTCTTTTGTTTGTTTGTTTGTTTTTTAACTACTTATTTTTTCTTTTCAATAAATAAAAGGAAGATGATCTTCGTCATGCTCTTGTCGATGCACTTCATCGTGGTCATGTTGATTTTGTTGAATTACTTATTGAATTTGGTACATCACTTGAAAAATTGACAAATGGAGATCTTAAACAGCTTTATGCAACAACATTGGTATATTGATTTTAAAAAAATCGGAAAAAAAAATAAATTTGACAAAGTTTTTGTTTCTAGACTAGTAATCGATTACCAGTTCAAGACAAAGGAAGAAATGTTATATGTACAAGAGATGATTTTTATTTAGATTATCTTCATTTGATCATAGTATGAAAGATATTTGATCTAATGATTATTTTCTAAGAAATATCTTTATAGTATAATACAAACAAGAATAATAAATTTTCACGATTAGATGATAATATACCATTAGGTAAAGGTGCTCCACAGGATTTATTTTTATGGGCTGTTTTTCTTAATCGATTTGAGCTTGCAACATATCTTTGTTCTAAAACTTGGGTAAGTTTTAAATAATTAAATAAATTTCAGATGGAAACTATTGTACTGAAAATCAGATAGACTAATCATATTCAAATCAAATAATCATTCTAACCATCAAACTAACGAATTTAAAATACAAACTATTCAGTACTAAAGTGTTGTCATAAAAAAACCTCGAAATATCTTAAAAATCGAATGTCTCATTTAAATTTCACTATATTAAAATAGATTTCATTATACGATAGACTTTTCTTGCTAGAATTCATCCATAGCACCATTATTTGGTGCATTAATTTATCGACGTGCAGCAAACTTAGAACTTGATGTAGATATAAAACAACAATATGAAGAAAATGCTGAGTAATTCGAATATTTTAAATTTTATTTATAATAATTTATTATTTATTTTTTTTCTCTAGTCAATTCGATACACATGCTATGTCAATTATTGATCGATGTTTTGATAATGATGAACGTTTTGCTGTTGATCTTCTAAAACGTCCTGCTGTTGCATTTAATGATGTTTATCCATTACAATTAGCACGAAAAGTTAATTGTAGATCATTTCTTGCATCAAAATGTGTTCAAAAATATCTTGATCATCAATGGTAAGATTTTTATTTGTATTTGAAAAAGAACGAAAAAAAAAATATATACACTTGAAATTTATAGGTTTGGATGTATCAATTATAAAAGAACGGCTATTAATTTTCGAGTAAATATTAAAAATAAAATAAAGCATAAAATATATATATTCTTTGTGATTTTTAAGGTTTTTCTTTGTTCATTATTTTTTCCTTTACTACCAATATTTTGTATCTTTTTGCCTTATATACAAAAACATAAAAAAGTTAGTGAAAATTTAAAAAGAAAATTATGAATATATTAAATAAATTTTTCAAGATCATTCAAAGTACTCGAGATCAATCAAATGTCAGTCGATCGACTATGATGCATAATGTTATCAGGTAAGAAAATTATGATTATTTTTATTTAATAAAAAAAAAAATTTTTATTCATATTTTATTGGATTTATTCAACATAAAGAAAAGAATGATGTTCTATGGTCTGACAAAATAAGATATTTTTATCAAGCACCTATTGTAAGATTTTATTATTATATGGTAAAGATAATTTGTATTATTTAAAACTATTCGTATTAATTTGATTTTCTTTTAATTAGATATTTTTTATTCTATTTCTTGGTTTATTCAGTTTTGTTCTTCTTGTTGATTATTTTCCATTAAATATCTATAATGAACGTCGATCTAGTATTCAAAATTTACGAATACCAATAACTGAAATAATTCTTCATATTTGTTTTTGGAGTTTCATTATTGAAGAAATGCGTCAAGTAATATTAATTTAGATTTTTATTATTAAAGAAAATAAAAAATAAAAAATAATTTTATTTTTAGTTTTTATTTGTGAATTCAAAAAGAGAATATCTATCAGAAATATGGAATGTGATTGATATGATTGCAACTATTTTATATCTTATTGGTTTTATTACACGATTCATTGTTCTTGAATCATCTTTTGTTGTATCAAAGTAAGTTGTAATATATTTTCTATTCATAGTTTTTTTCTTGTTTTATTTCAGAATATTCTTATGTCTTGATTTGATACTTTGGTATGTTCGTACATTAGAACTATTTGCTGCTTTTGAAAAAGTAGGACCAAAATTAATTATGATTTTTAATACGGTTTATATAACTGATGATTTAATTAATCTTTTGATTATGGTTTTTTTTTTGTATTAATAGATGAAAGATTTTCTATTTTTTGTTTGTTTTATTCTTATATTTTTTCTTGGATATTCAATATCATCATGGTCATTAATAACTACAGATAATCAAGTTTCTTGGAATTATAATAGTGATGGATCATTA